CGTGTTCCGGTTTGTAATGTCTTATGTAGTTCTTCATTTTCAGNAAATGAATTGGCAGACTCATTATTGGAATGTACAGGTGGAGTTCCTGGTTTGTNGACTCGTGCAGNAAATATGCTTTNGAATTATANAANAGCAAGAAGTCAGCCTTTCATATCGAAAGAAGAATGTTNGACTTGTANGAATGACTACGATTTCCGAAGAATTTGTGCTGAACCATTTGTGGAACGAATATNGAATTTGGACGAAGATAGAAAAAGTGTTTTTGATTTACTTTNGANGATGGCTCTTTATCGTATACCGTCTAAAGNAGATGATAGATNGACCTCGGAGTCCTTTTTATATGATGCCGNAACAGAAATGGGACTATATCGATATCCTATTGACCAGAATACTTTTCAAGTCCNAATTCCAAAAGTATTTGTTGNAATCTTCAAGAACGACCCTTCCATATCTTCTTTGGAAAAGATACTTCTTGGATCACTTGATGTCGAACCAGNAGATTGTTTCTTCTATTCAAAGTGTCGTGTATTTGAAGGAATTGTTGCTTTACGACNAGTTTNGATGTTGTCTTCAAAGAATCGAAATGAGTNGAGGGAATTGTTGTGTCAATTGTCTCCGATATGGAAACAAANGAAACTTCCAATCAGTACAATATCACCTATTCACTATANGAAGTCTGTTGTTAGTTCTAGAGAAACAAGAAGTGAATCGAACAAGAGTCGAAGAACTTTTGCCAATACTGAATGGAATAAGATTATTCGAGAGACACTTTATTNAGAGACTATTTACATTCCTTTGGACGCTACTTCTCATAGTCCTGATATTATATTCAAATTACAATCTCCTGTGGAACCCAAAGTTCTTACTGTTGGAGTTGCTTGTAAAGGACGTTGGAGGTCGGAAGGAATTGGCTGGTCAGATATTANAGATGAAGCCAAGAAATTTTNAGATCCTGTTTATGATCAAGTCTTATCCAGTGCAATGGATTATCATCATTGTATGCTTATTATCGTTAGTACAAAGTTATCATNGAATGTTTCTAATGAGTTGGGTAATCAAAGTTCGTTGTTACTCCAGTGGAATGTTTATTAGAAATGATTCGTTCAAAGTACCTGATAATTGTGAACTTGTTATTCTTTGTGAAAGAGATATCCAAATGCNGATTGACGAAGAAATATNGAATGGACTTGAAAGAGCATTTCATGTTTCTCATAATCCTACTTTTTGGGATTTTGGATNAGATTTACTTCATAGAATCCGTAACAGTTTCTNAAGTTGGCAATAGATTCTAACTCAGTCCTTCCCTTTGTTTTGAAGAGCAAATAAACTATTTTTTGTATGTTTGAAACTTAGTTACATCTTACTTTTTTGCCTCTTTGGAGACCATACATTCTTTCCCGAAAAGAGTTTATTAGCTGGCTGACAAGGCTGGTTCACAGTAGTTCATTCTTATCTAGCCATTTTACATGGCTATGTAATTGCATAATACATTCTGAATATTATCAATACTAAACATACGACAATTGTATTCAATAAGTTGAGTCATTTTTGGTGTCTATGACAATAGATTGGCTATTTTGAAGCAATTGTAGAAAACTTTGTTGGGAAAGGCTCTCAAGTCATGAAAAAGTCCGTATTGGAGAAAAAGAAAACTCTATATGACACCAGAAAGAGCTTTGTCTTTGCTCCAATTGTTTCAGAATCTCACATTCTTTCTTCTCTTCTACGTATGAATGGAATATTTGTTGAAATTGAAACGTTTCTAAAATGTTTCGATTTTTCAGCATAGTCTCACAATGGATGACTTCAAAAGACTGTTGGATCAGTTTGTTACCAAAATAAATCGCTATGGAAGCTTGAGACACGTTGATAATGACTCAATTTGAGCAATGGAAAGTTATACAACAAAAAACTTTTTATTCAAAATAAAAAGCAAGGCTTAAACTATGGTATCTTACTTCTCAACTTTGGAAACTGTGAAGGTTCTAAAACAAACCTTCATCAGCCAGAGACCCGATGTGATTGGGTGAGCACCCAAGTTTCCATAACCAAACATAAACTTTACCTTTCTGAAAGGTAGAATGAGTCTTCAACTAGATTAGGTTTGATAGAACCACAAATTGGCGGACAAAAGATTGTAGATTGTTGTGCAAACTTCAAAGATGTAATGATGATGGAACTTGGTTGAATCGATCGAAAGCTGCTTGGTTTTCATATTAACAGAATAAGAAATATTTTACTAGAATCTTTTGTTTGGAATTGTAAGTTTGTAATACGTTGAACCCTTTAGAGGAGTGGCTATTTGACAAATAGTAAAGGAGAAAGAAATGTAGTCAGATTGAAAAGTTTTGGTAAATCCTGCACCATCAATCGTTTTCAAACAGTTATCTGTCGCAATGATTTAGACAAAAGGTATGTTTCTAGTACCTGGAAAATCTTGTTTGGAAGGAACTTTGCTGAGATGTGGAATGCCCTGGCAGATAGTATTGTTGCAAAAGATTACTATCACATATTCAAATAGATAGTTAGTTATGTATTCTTATCACATTGACATTGTTGCAAGATATTGTATAATTCCATTGCAGTATGTTGTCCACATAGGAATGCTTCATGTTGAGTCATTGGCTCTACACTCAAACGTACCTGACTTTGAGTCATCCAGAAACTTTCTTGTGACTACTACTCTCCTCAGGGAATGTTAGATTGAGTTTTTACTATGGCTACTCCGGTATATTTTGATATATGCAATATTTGGATAGTCAACAAACACAAAAAGTTATAACCTCAAACTTTGCCATTCATTGACTGGGTCTACACACAAGTGCCAAGGATTATATCGAGTCAGTGAGTATTAGAAAACATACAAATAGGGACACAATTTACGGGGTAAAGTTTAGAGTACTGTTAAAGTAAAGGAGCTCATAGAGAGAGTATCTCAAACGGTTGCTGAAAGATTGAAAGCTGCAAAGATCGTCCCTTTCCAGATTCAACCCTATAGTTCTCTTCAAATGAAAGTCAACAGTGAAAAGTTATAAGAGTATTCGTTAATAGCACTGTTAGATCATTTATGTTTCTAGTTTCCAAAAAAAGAAGAAGAAGCAGAGCAGTCTTTCTACTACAAGAGCTTAAGTTCCATTGTTTCCTAATTTTTTGTTTTAAAATTATCCATTCGAAGAACCCACCACTTGTCATCATAACAAGCTAAATGTACATCGGCAATCGTACCTAATTATACAGTATTGAAAAGAAGGAGACTGTATGCCGATTTGAACAACGCTATGTGTACGATTGCAATCTTGCTTTAGCAATGTTATCTTTTCTTGCAAGAGTTTGCTAAATGGGAATGTTTTAAAATCATCTATAAAAAGAATTGTAAAAGGATTGCTCAGATGTTTCTGCTATGACGAGAAACACTGAAATGTAAACTCCTTTCTGTTATAATAGCTTTTTTTTTTGGGCATAGAGACTTTACTGATTTTTGGTACTCTTATAAACCGAAAGTTTGTACACTTTTTAAACCTTTTGTTATTTGTCCATTTTTTGGAAATGTCTCTTTAACAGCTAAAATACTCCTATAGTCAACATCACCTTGCTTTTTCAGTAAAAACTTTTATCATTTATGTAAAACGATACAACAAAACGACTGGGTAAGATGACTATTGAAATTTTTCTTTTGGTAGAATTCGTGATAAATAAATTAACGATCATCCATAAAGGAATAGATATGAGACATTGAGACAAACTATATAAATACCTATCTACAAGGTGTATCAAAACAACAATGTCTAGGAAAATCAATCATAGCAAGGAGCAATCTATCTCTGGTCAGAATCTTCTTTAAACGCTCCGTCAACTTATTAACGAGCGTCCTAATTATCTAATAATATGACCCTGTTAAAGAAGCAATTCAAAGGCAAATAATAAAGACAACTATGACAGATGGGTAGAAATAGTCACTGGATTTCTTCTGCATGCTATTCTGAGAAATGTCTTTTATGTTCCAAATCTGATCACAAACCTACAATGCGTCTCTTTAAAAAGAGTATCTTACTAAATGAAAACGGACATAACTAAAGAGCCCAAAAATAAAAGGAATAGGATTCGACTAAGAATCTAGTTAAGGTTCCTACAAACTATCTTAAAAATGTGAACCCAAGGGCTGATATCGACAAGAGCCTAAAGGACCAAGATTCTGACTGCAGATATGCACGAAAAATATTCTAAAACGACACTCAATAAAAATCTGCTGATTTACGAGAGAGATGAAAGGTTCACGACCTTGAGTTATTTGGAATCCAATGCCTTGGTTATCTCCTCGAAAAACAAACAGCGAATTTCCAAGGAATACCAGAGTTTAAACAACGATATCTCTTGAATGGAATATATAAAAGTAACAGAGGTATTCAATAATGGACAATCCAAAAAGACAATACAAGCCAAGTGGAGCTCAACGTCTCAAAGGAAAAGGTGGGACTGTTACAATAGAAACAATTCAAAGCTTGAAATATGTTCAAAGAGAGGTTTAAATTCCGAAATTTCATTTTTACAACTTTAATCCCTCGATAGGTTTGAAGTGGCTAAAGTGTAATAAACCAACTTAAAGATATCCAAAGTAACTGTATAGCCGCCCTGGAAACTCTTGAAAAACATTATCAATTTGTCCAATTTACAATTTGTGTTTAGGTCATTCGTTGTTGAAAGTTTCGAGTTGTATCAGTCTTTGGATAATGCAAACAATATACCGATTAAAAGAACCACAAATTGACAGGGAAGAGGACGTCAGGACAATCATACAGACGTTTCTTTTTCAGTTCTCGGAGAAGGCGTACGGTGGGCCTTCGTTCAATCGCCCGGCTTGCTGTTTTGCGCCACATATTTATGGAGCCGGCAAAACATTTGTAGGCCAAAACTTTTCGGCCTATTTGAATATTTTTGCAGAGCGTGAGTGTTCCAATGCACAGACTTTTCAACAACTACACAGTTCAAACGATAACCCCCAACCGAGTGAGTTGAAAGTGCCTTGGAAACACTTTGCGGAAAAAACTTTGTCAGTTTGCTTTAAACTAGAAGAGAGCTTTTCTGATGCTCCTTTTCCGAGTTTTCGGAAGGCTTTGATGTATAATATAATTTTGAACTCTTAACGACAAAATGGTAAAGATACGGACGCTCTTCAGATAGCTGAAAGGACGGTAAAGAATTTTGATACTGTAGGAGCTATTGATTATCTTCTCTAACAATTTCAGAAACAATATTTATTTTTGATGATAGACGAACTTAGCCACCTGAGTTACCTCACCACATACTATAGTGAACTTACCACGAAACAGTTCGTCGAGTCTGACCCAAGATATGTACCTTTCCGGAATTTCTTCCGTATTTTACGTGATTTGTTGATTACAGGGAAGGTAATTGTCTATTTGGCAGGTCGGACTGCTGAAATCTCAGCCCCCCTGTCTGATGCTCGCTCCAGTAGTGTGAGTCTCCATATGTTGCGGTTGAATCCCTTTAACCTCCATGATATTAACGAATATATTGAGCTGGCAACTTATAGTGGAAAGTCCTTGAAGGACTGGTTATTGCCCTCCGATGATTTACGACATCGATTCGTAGAATTGTTGAAAAAGAAGACAGGAGGTATTCCGTTGATTGTAAGGAATACTTTATTAGCCCTAGTAGAGAAAGTTTCAAACTTATCGCAACCTGTTATCAACGCTGAAAATATGGAACTTTTGTTAGATAGTGTCTTTAGCTCTTTACTACTAGAGTCAGTAACGTTTATTATTCCAGAGATACTAGATTCCGCAACCCTTCTTCGATATCAATTTGTCCTTTTGAATTATCAACTCGGAACGATTTTCCCAATCGGATTTGCAACTACTCTATGTGGAACGAGAACTTATTTGATGGACTTGGTTGCAACTTTTGGGTTTTATTCTGAAATTTGTGAAACTGACGGGATTGATTTGGGCACTAAATTCAAGATTGGTTGTTGTGAATTTATATTGAGAGCTCATAGCAACTATAACTTTTTCCGTGAGGCTACTGAACTCTTTCCTTTATCTCCGTTTAGTTATATTCCCGACACTGCAACAGCAAAAGGAGTCTTCTTTGAATTTATATTTATGAAGATCTTTCGTTTTCGCTTATTAACTTTTCTTCATTCTAGTTCCTCGCCTATTGTACATTCTGCTATTCCAGGAATTTTCCAGGGTTCCTTTATTGAACAGGACAATATTTCTTATTCTATGGAATCAACAAAATCTTATGATATACCCATCTTGAGAAATGTCTCTCATTCATTTTCTGACTCATTATAGAAAACATTTACAACATTGTGGTATTTTTGTTCCAAAAGAGGGCAATTCGAGTGGTCCTGATGCATATGTTGTATTCCATAATGAACAAACACGTTATGTTGTTGGATTTTCATTCAAATTTTATCACAAAACTAAATTGTCGAAAACAAATTATTAATAGAGGAAGCAAAAAAATTTTTCCAAGGGAGTTGTTTCCGTTTTGAATAACGAATCTTTTTCATCTGTTCAACTTCGTTTTCAGTTTGTGGTAGTAGTGTACTAGATATGATCAATCTGTAGGTTTCTCTACTGAAGAACAGAACATTGTTGAAGACGCAAGTCGTTTTGTGACTCAACATTCTTCGGGATCAACTTTGAATGAAAGTAGTCGATCATGTCTGCAATTGGTAATTGTTTCTCAAAGGAACCTTGAAATATATTTGGGAAGAGATAATGTCGAAACGTTGAGGAAAATTGGGGAAGCAAACCGAGGAGAGTTCAGTAAAAACTTTTCAGTATGGTGTGAAACTGTCTTTGAGTCGATGTCCAATGAATATGTTTCGCCTTTGGAGCAATCAAATGTTACTTTACGAGTGGCTCGAAATATAAGACCGAGAACCAATGAGGAGAATAGGATGCAAATGGAAGAGCTTCAAAGTGCTATGCAAGTGGAAGGAGGAGATGCACGAGGCGAACAAAGGGTTGCAGCATCGAGTTCTTTGTCTTCGTCATTTGATTGGAATACTTTCCTAAGAGAATATTGTCATTTTACGGAAGCTCCTTTAATTGAGCGTTATGCTCATCAATTGCGATTGTTTAGCCCACTATCTTTTCCTTACTTGAATGACACACGTTTATCTCGCTATGGTATAGCTCCACAGGACATTCCATTGATAGTTGACGGAATACATGAGTTTCTTGAGCAACAATCGATGAACGTGGATCTTGTTGAAAGATAAACTTTTTCAAGGCTGGATTATTGTGTTTCTAAAATAAAACTATAGTTTGAAGAAAATTGTATTCAGAATATTCAGTGTTTTATGATTACATAGCACCTAATACTACGTCTTGTTTCTGCTATTTACTCTTTGGTCATAGCCAACTTAATACACCACTGTCGATAAGTACTACAATTGTTTTTTTTGGAAACAAGTTAGAACTGTTTGCCTTTTGATATCGCTATTGTATCCACCACGACTGTAGTCGAGATACGAATTCAAATTGTTAGCGTATCCAAGTCTCTTGTTATTCCTCTTAAGACAAACTATGACTTGAGTGTTTACTCAAAACCAAAAAGCTGATTCTGACTAAGAAATTATATTTCTTAAAGAGTCAGTTGCATAAAATTGACAAATAAATAAGCAGGTCTGAAAAGTCTAGAAAATTTGGGTTTGCAATCTATGGCAGCAAAGTTCTGAGTTCAAAAAGCTATAACAGAATGACGTACACGCTTCAGTGCTACTTGTTCCATTTGAAACAATTCAGGTGTCCTTTCTTAGTTTGTTTACAGATTCTTTGGAAACATCATAATTAAGCAAATTGCAAAAAGATGACTCTGCAATAAAAGGATGACACCCCTATTTAGAACGTTCTTCAAATCGACATGCAGCTTGATATTTACAAATATTGAAAATTGAGGCAACTCATAATCGATCGAGGTTATTGCTTTATGATCAAGATTGGAAAGAAACGGGAAACTAGTAGAATTGGTCTGCTGAACAGAATGTTGAACATCTAATGCACTGTCATCTTATGGGACGTTTTGAGAATGACAATTTAAAACACAGCTGAAGATGGAGACAACTCAGGCACATATTTCTACTTTCTTAGACTTGGAAATAACCTATTCATTTATTATAACAGAGAAAAAAGAAAGGATAGAATAAAATTTGTTGTTCTGGAGGAAATGATTGATTCTTTGTCGATAGAATACAAAAATTGAGTCAGACCATACAAGCTAAACACATGCTATCATTTCGTACTCGAAGAGAACGCATAGGACAACCGTAATTTGAGAATCTGGTTGCTGAATAAAACATGATAATTGGTTCTAGCAAGATGAGCCGAAACACTTTAAAAATCCAATAGAATAAGTTTAGATATTTTGATAAGTAGATGAGGCATATCGAACAAGTTGGACATAACATGATTTGAATAAAGTTGCATCGTAGAAAGAGAAGCAATATGCGGGAACGAGAGAAAAATTGATCGAGAGCAAGGAACCGAACAATCGGGCAAAGTCAGCGATCTTTAAAAAATTTCAATATAGAACATTATAAAAGCGACTCTTATACTGAAAAGGCAACAAAAGCAGTGCAAACAAAAGAAAAGAGAAGAAAAAAATTGAAAAAAGGTAAGCTCGCACTCATTCAGAGCAATCGCCTAGAGCCCTATCGATAATTAATATTTCAAATCAATAGAGAATTGTCAAAGACAATCACAATACAAACATCCATCAAAAAATGAGCAATGAAGGATACACAAGACTTTACTACGCTATCCTGGGAAATGAATCGGTTGTACAAACAGTGCGAAAATTGCTTACACTCCAAAAACTGTTGCGGAGCTACAGACTGACTTCTCCATCTTGAAAACAGCCACAAAGGACAAAAATCTAACATACAGAAAGTTACTCTGTGAACTGACCAATACACTCAACTGTGAGTCTGACTGGTTTCTTGTTCTTGAAGAATATCTTAGAAATATTAACCCAAAGACTGATTCCAAACAACCGACAACAAGAGAAGAATTTCAGTTGTTGGTCAATGTTGTTTCTGAGTTTTGATAAAACTACGATATTTTGATCCTTCTTTGCACATTTTTTGGTGGTTCTTTTGCCATCATCAACTTTTGCAGTTTTAGTGATAAGCTGCTTATTATCAAGATTGTAAAAAAGAAGTTTGATGATTTCTGAGAACTAAGTGAATGCTTTATTTGCGAGTTGCTACATTTCTATTAAATAACACTATTTCAACTAGATTTCCTTAGTAGACTGCACAGGAGAATGACTCGGTCGATACATTAGTGTATTGTTTCAAGTGTTTGGGCCGATGTCTTTGAACATGTTTCAAAACTAAAAGCGTTTCACTTGAAGGCTATTATTGGTGTCAATTTTGCAAGATTGCAATGATTCAAAGTGAATAGAATTTACATACATACATTTGGACTTGTAACTAAAATGAAAACTTTTCTTTCTTGTCCAAATTCTAAAGTGGCTACACAAGAATATCTCAAAACATTCTTGAAGTTGTCTGCTACGCTGTCTTTCTGGTTTGTTGAAAAAAGAACGGTAACTCTATGTATTATAATTCTCAAAGACTGAAACGGAAAAAGTTGTTTGTAGATTTCACTTGGACGATCCTTCCTAGTTTTTGTTAACTGAATAGAAGAGAGTTTTTCTCGGTTTTAGACAACAAACAAAGGGAATGGCAACTAAAGTTGGAGGCTTCATTTAATTTTAGAATCGCACTGAAGCATCAAAAAGAGTTAGTTTCTTAAAATTTAGTAAAAGTTTAGATTCCTTTCGTTCTTTTGTCTCTTTTCAAACTGCATTTTTAGCCCTAAAATTCATATGAATGGCTCTTACAAATATAAAAGTTGTTGGATCTAAGAGAAAATATAGCAATAACAAATACTAAGAGGGATATTTTGGTTTGCGACTAGGACTTTATCTCAAAAGTTGTCATTTTTCAAAAAGTTACTCAAGACACTATATATCCAAACTCTGTTTTTTGGATTACACAGAAAACTCACCGGCTCTCAGTTAAGGAAAGTGAACCGGTTGCGAAGATGATATTCAATCTAAAAAATTTCGTTCAGCTATCGACAATATAAGAGATATCCTAAATGATTCTACCCATTGACAATGAGAGAAGAACTTTCGATTTCAGAAAACTACGATCTACACAAAATTTCCATTCATAATGTATTGCAGTTCAAGAGACAACTTTGAGTTTGGAATGGGATTGTTTTAAACCCTTATCCAATCTTGAAGTAATGTCGTTTTACAACTATTAGTGACAGTCGAATCATCGACTCATTCGGTGATGGACTCTTTTATGCCTTATTGCCGCACCTTCAACATATGCTCCCCTTTAGTCAATCGTCAGGAAGCCAATTATCAAGTTTTGCACGCATTTTCTGATTCATATGATACGAGTGATCCTAGAGACAGTAGGAATCTCCGTCCCGTCGTTTGCTTCTCTGGCCATATGTATGGCTCGGGGAAGACAACCCTGGGTAAAAGATTCCAAGACTTCCTTATGCAAAATAAGGAATATATTTCTATCAAGTGTAAGGGCCTACTTTTTCCTGGCTGTTGTACTTCAGACGAAGGGTTGAATGCAGTATATAATGATTCCTTGTATGTTTATGTAAACCTTTCTGATCTTCCTCGAACTGGAGAGGACTTTGATTGTGCTTTGCATGAATTTATCTGCAAAACTGCTCTTTCGGAGTTTCTAAATTCTGGAGAGTTACTGTCTAAAGTGCTTCCTCTCGTTCCTAGGGGCCCTTTTGAGTGGCTTAGTAAGTAAGCTGTTGCAAGTCACCAACAAAATGTATCTATTTTTATTTATCGATGAGATTGGTTATTTGAGTGAGCCAAGGCTTTTCCAATATAGTGATTTAAATAGTCCCGTGAAAATGAAATTACTTGTACAGTTTATCGCACATTCTTTTGATATCTAAGGACTTTGGTTTAACAGCGACATGTATGCTGTGTTGTCGAAGGAAGATGTGACGCAGTTATGGGTAAACAAGAAGATGCTATGCCATCACGAATTTTATTAAGATTTCTGAAACTGGATCCGTTTCCACTTGACTCGGTCCGTTATATAATAAGCACTCTACGTATAAGGGGACCCTATTAAAGAATTCGTATTTCCAAGTAATCAACAAGACATGAAATGCCTTGATAGTATAATTTATGACTATACTGGTGGAGTACCTCTATATATATTTTATATCTTATCCAGTTGGTTAAAGGTGTGAATCTAATCCGCAACGGAGAGATTTATCAGAAGAAGGTAGAAAGTATTTCCACAATTGAAAGTCTTTTCGGAAGAATTGGTCCTAAAGGATATGCTGTGTTCTCTACGCTGCTTCTCGCCAGTATTCTAAAAATTCCTTTTCATTGGGGCGAATCGTATTTTGATGATTTGAACCTTGGCGAATACTCTGAATACGCTCTGGATGTTTCTAGCCATTTTAGTTTTTATTATACTGATGAAGAGAATACAGACACTTTCAAGTTGGTTTATCTAAAGATTGTTTTAAAATATCTTGAACTTTTCTGTCGCAAGGTCCCAATAATTCGTTTATTTGTCATTTATTTTCCAACTCGACTCTCTCTAATGATTATATAATTCGTGGTTTGCGAATCGAAGTGTTGTTTGCTTTGGTATTATATGTTCGATTATGCTTTTGTTCCAAGTTGGGAGAAATCAGCATATTCAATAGTACAACAGTGGAAGATTTATTTTTGAAAGTATAAACAACATCGAGGCGGACAAACGTATTCCTCTTCCAAAGTATGTTTTATCTTTCCATTCCGGAGTTTCAGAACAAATAAGTGCTTCAGGGTCAACTTATCATCCCAATGTTTGGAATGTCTTTATGAAAAATTCTTATCTAAGGAAGACGGTATTTTCATTCCTCAATTACAACAATCAAGAGGACCTGACTTGATGCTTCGTGTATCTAAAAATGTCACCGAATCAATGGTTACTTCATCTTTCGATGAAATGACAGATTGCTCTCAACAAGTTTCAACCAAGTGTATACCGGAGAGACAAGCTATTTGTCTCATTGGAATCTCATTCAAGTGTTATGACACGTAACAGGTAAAGGAGGGATTGGACGTTCTGATACTCGAGCTGAAGCAGAAAAATTTCTGTTTCCAGTATCACAACAAATTGATTTGGAAGCGAACAGTATTTTTGCCATTCAGCTTATTGTAAGTACGAAATATACCAGTCAAGTTTCAAGGGAGTTTAGAGATAATAAAAAGTAGATATTGAATAGTGGAGTATATTATGAGGATGATCGTGGACAAGTATTTTTTCGATCTTTTGCTTCTCGTCCTGCACGTGGCTCTGCTAGGGAATGGTTAACTGCTCCATCTCGTTTCAATTGGTTGTTTGTTCTACCACTAGTTTGAAGGAATTGCTTGGATTGGAAGCCTATGAAGAATTCGAAAAGATTTTTGCAAAGGATAATAATGTTTCAACAGATTCCGATTTAGTTTCCTTGAGCTCTGCATTTACATACTTGTTACAAGGAATGTTAGAAGATGAAACAACACAAGTTTCCATAGCCAAAGCAGAACCAGGAAGGATACGAATGCTATGCAAGTGGAATATACGAGAAGTGGAGGAGATGCTGCAGCATCCAGTTCTTTGTCTTCGTCATTTGATTGGAATGCTTTCCTAAGAGAATATTGTGGTTTTTCTAAAGAAGATGTTGCTTTATTGTTTTAGGAAACTTTCAAGGTTCGGTAGAGTTTTTCTTTCCAGAATCAATGAAGATTCGTTACTTTGCATGGGTATCAATGATCCTACCGTGATATCCAAACTCCTTATTGGCATTACTGAAGAGTTTTCTAATTTCAGACTATGAACGAATCCATTTGATTATATTTTTATTTCATGGCGTTGTGGTAAGACTAAAAAAAGTTTGAAGGAAGCTCTTACTATTTGATGCCAGTTAAATTGATATAAAGTCGATACTCACGATATTTCAGGACATTTTGTCGTGGCTAAAAGAACTATTCAACCCATTTACATCAAAGTGTTCTTTAGGTCTACTAATCTTTGGTTTCGAGAAATGATGCAACTCATGAGAAAATACTGTTTTCACTCATTTCACCTTCGAACTTGTATCATCCGAATTCTGAACAGCGAGTAACCCGAATCATTTGAACGTCTGATCATTGTATCTTCAAAAAGGATACAAATATATCCAGAAGTTAAAAAATACAGATAAAGCGCTCAAAAGTTTGCATCAAACACTTTCAGTCTTTACTGGAATTAGGCAAAGTGCTCGTATCATAAAAATTGTTCAAGTTGAAACGAATTGAAATTTTCATCAATTTAAACTAACAAACTTATATACCTTATTGCAAAGAGTTCGAGTCTTTCCTTTATAGAGTGGAGCGCGATTCTAACATAACAGTGAACATTCAAAGGAAATGTGCAGATGTAACCAGGCACGTTAAAGAGACCAACTTGAATGGACTATTAGACTTTTTGTATTCTTGCTTCTTTCTTTTGCAACTTTTTGATTTATTTCTGACTGTTTGGAAATTCTGCTTCAACCTTGAGTCCACATATCTTGCGATAATTTTTGGGAATGTCCTAGAATGACCACTCTTTCATTCATTAACTTTTACAAAACTCTTAATATTTCTTTTCTGGTCTCCAATCAAATATTCGCAATATGTGCTGTTGAGTAGAGCCGCAACAAAAGAGTCCAAGAAGTCACTCAGTTTTCTTATACAAATCATAAAAAGACTGGAATATTTTGCAAAACAACAACAACAACACAATACACAACTATTGTTTATCACTAGACATCATCCATCTAGTCACTAAAGGTTTCACTTTCTTCATCAGCAGTCTCATATAAATATGAGGGACCCTCTGCAATAACCGAAAATAAACCACATCGTTGAACCAGTCTTTCATATTCTGTCAAAAAATGTTCCAAGTCTACAACAAAAGAAAAAGGTTCAAAAATATTGTGGACTAGACCATTTTTGCCTGATTGAAAAACATCAACAAAGTAACTTCCTCCTGCACCTCTTTCACCATCAGGATACAGTTCGTACTCATATGGTTTGCCACCAGAACCACCTCGTCAAGCAGCTCCATCACTTCCAGAACCTCCGTCTTTTACAGTAGGTCCACTTCCACTAAACCACCTTTACCACCGCCACCAGACAGGACGACAAATGTCAGACCCTCTCTGTCTCTTCCTCCATAACCCGAGTTACCGCCTTTGCAGCTTTCAAAGTGCAGCCAACTTCACTAGTAGCCTTTAGCCTTTGCTGTTTCATATTTGAGTATGTTTGATGTGTTGAAACGTTCCAGTTGAGTCAATTGAGTGTGACAGGCTAACATTCTGTCTCGGTTAGTGATTATTATCTTACAAAATCATGAAAGCGCGACTTGAGACAATTTTGTGCCTCGATGCTTATTGTGCTTCTTTATTCTAAAACTTTTGGTCGATTTCTTTGTACAATTGTGTATTGAGATTTTTTATACCTTCTATACAGTGGAAGATTTGTGGCGACTCGCTTTGTTTATTTTGATGGTTGTATTATTAAGGTTGTTGAAACTAGTTTGCCATTCTAGAGCTTGTTTGTCGTAATTGTTCCCTTTTCGAACGATAAGGTAGACAAAAAACTATTTGTTTTTCATAGACATTTATTCCCTTGGTTTTTTCTGATATATGTTCAAGTAAAAGAACCCTGAAGAATATTCAGTAGGTTTTCAAGAAATTAAGTATTGCAATGATTCCAGTTGGTGTAGTAGGAATTAAAAAAACCTTTGGCACTCACAAAGACTTGAATTGGACACGTTGAACTTATTCAGTTGCGTTGAAAATTCGTCAATTTTCAATGCTTCTCGTTGTCTTTGCACTGCGGATTCTGCTTTAACTTTAGCTTTATTTGACTTTTAGTTGCTTTCTCCTTGGCACTCAGTATTTATACTTTGAGACTGTTCAATAATTTGAAGAATTCATTTACTATCTTGTTATCAAAAAGGAAAGAGATAGCTGACGTTTGGTTCTGAGATTGAACTTGCCGGAAGTATGAAGATCATCTTGGTCTTCAGTTTATTGAATAATGCGTTTGATATATGTTCCCTGCAGAAATAAAGTGCGTAGTTGATCTTGAAGCCTCAGTTGTCGTTTGTTCCGTGGTGTAGACGATATTTTTCAGCAGTGGTCCAATAATCAACTTGTGTGTTGAATACAAAATGGCTAGATTTCAACTGTTTTTGTTTTCTTAGTAAGGAAATTTTGTCAACCTGATGAATAGGAAAGACTGCAGTTTTGGACATTGAGATGTAACTGAGAGTTGGAAAAAATCTCAAGTCTTTCTTCAGAAATATCAACTTCAATGATGAAGAGAGCATTGTATATGATAAAGTCCAGGATTTTATTCGTACCTGGAAAATGTTGAATAGGTATATTATGCACCTTTGTTATTTTTCTGTCTATTTTCTTGTTTGTATACACTTTTGTACATATTTGTGTGGAAACTATCTATGTAGCTGATAAACCTTTTGCACATGTTTGATTCTGGAATATAGGTTGTCCATTATTCACAGTTATTCCAGTCAAAAATTGAATTCAATGGCTTCTCCATTCTTTTACGATAGAAAACAAAGTTTCTAGTGAAAACCAAATCTAATAGATGGTCTAGCTATTTTGAGATGTAGCAAAGTTACACAGAGGAAAGCTGAGTTATTTCAAACTCTAAAGTGTCCAAAGAAAGTAATTCATATTTACCTATCTTTTATCGTAAAGAAGACAGAAAAAGGTTTTCTTTCCAATCGCTCGTAGATGGATTGTTAATTGCATCCTTTTTGGCTAGTTGTGTTCATAATAGTGTGTAAACATCGAATTAAATTGAACGTTGACAAACTACATACTATGGTTGTTCAAAAGATTGGAATTCAACTATTGATTGTTACAGATGACTCTTCCAAGCACATGGAAATTCTATCGGCTAAATTTTCACTTGCTGATTTAAGTTTGGTTGTTCTTTTAAAGTCTTCCGATGCTTTTAAACGAGATGGTTGCAGAATTTTTGAAAATACAACTGAATCTCCTCAAAGCAGACAAATCAATAGAGTAAAACTTGAATTTCAGGAAATGATAGCATTTTCATCATTTATTAAAAGAAACGTTTGTTAGAAAACTGATATTTATTTTTATATAGAAAGAATCACCTCGATGGGGAAATAGGAGCAAATTCTTATCAACACTTTTGAAAGATGGATGAAGTAGGAAATTTTTCAATGAGAATCAATTTTTTTATTATTGAAAAAAGCAAAGTTGGAGTATTCAAAGACGTGCCCAAGACTCTTGAGTTGCATGAAAGATGAGACAAATAACAAAAAATGATTGACAAATTCCCTGATAACTAAGTAGCAAATATATGACTCGATTTATAATAAAGGCAATGTTTTAAAACGACAAAGTATAGAACACAAGATGAAAACATCAGAGAACAAAGGATTTACAATTGAATGTGTAAATAGAAGCTTTACTAATGCAAGCAACATGAAATCAACAGGAAGAGTGAAACAACAATATGGATGCTGTTTAATGAAAATGATGGCTTGAAAAATGTGAACAATCCTAAATCACTGTGTCTTCCACTCAATCTACAGATCTTCAGCTCTGCAAAAGTATTAGAAAATCAAAATGATACTAAAAAGCGGTTACATCTGTCTAAAACGAGATCTAAATGACTTGCTACTACTTGAAGATGTAATATAATTGCCCATAGAAACTGAAGGCATGTCGAGAAAGGGACTAAACTACGGAAAAAAAGGATGGTAGACTATAGAATACATGCTACAACTAATTTTTTCATTTTGTGACTGCTAAGAAAACTAGAACGATCAATCCATGATATTGAGTAGAGAACGGCACATCTAAAGAAACTGGACAATGTTCAATAAACCAATGAAATCATTATAAACTTGAAGAAATATGAGATATAGGCTATATTCTTGCGCTTCAAAGAAGAATCCCTCGAAACTTTCTTGAATGAATTCAACAAGGCAGTTTAAAGTCCTTTACAATATTTTGTGAAAAAAAAGTTCGTTGCTGTGATCAGCTTAGTAAGAAATTGCTATCTTTTTAGGATTCAAAAAAAACTCATGACCTTTCATAATTCATGAAAAGGCCTAGTATTCTAAAATAGAATCTTTCTTCTGTTATTTTGTGATAACTGATCTTTCTCGAGAGTCCCTCTTCGTAGTTACAGTCGTCATATCATTCGCACAAGTTTTTGATTTCTTGAATTGTCTTCTGTTCTGTACTGCATTATTCTCTTTCCATTCATGATAAACGTGTCTTTCCTAAAATTAGCAACTCATCTATGTTCACTCTTTTTCAACATCGCGAAACTTCATGCTTCATTCTTCATAATTGAGACTAGTACTAATTTTACTCGATACATTGCGACGGAGCTTTTTGTCAACTTTACAGTTGCTTGAAAATTGAAAGTGTTTCAAAGAAAGCAGCTAGGATTCACAAGCTTTGTTTGCCTTGTCATAACTTCTTTTGGGTGGTTATTATAGACTAGACCTGCTCAACCTGAGCATCTTTCAAATTATATGAAGCATTCCAAGATCCTAAAAATGAGGAAAATTGATGCATTTGTTTTACTCATTCAGTCATCTAATCCACTTGGTGGAAATACAAACTTTCTATCCACTATGCTTTTTCTAGTCTTGATGAATTGTAAAAAGTTTTTCAATGTTTCACTTGGTCATTCCTTGAAGAATATACTCACCTGC